AAAGTCACAAAGGTTGGAAAGAAGTAAAAGTGTCTTGTTGCAGATGTTTCTCTACTGTAGAAATCCTAGAATCTGCTAAATTTAGACTGCACCTAAAACCAAAGATGCTCTATTTAGCTTATTCCCTTCACATGCCCCACACAGCTGGAGGTTAGCACGTCCCTGGTGCTCAATACACGTTCACTACATGAAGCGCGTCTGCATCTTAATCAACGGAGATCAGCCTACATGACTCTACTTCATCATTTGTATCTGCTATGTTGAACCCGCTCAAATTCGCTAAATGCCTTAAAATCGCCACAATCTTTCTCTTCTATTAAAAAAAAAAAAAAAATGAAGGCCCTTGGACATTCTGCCTATACAGCTAAAGGTGGACCCCCACAGGAATCACCCCCAGATAGAGATTGGGCACTTAGCAAACATGCCAAGGCGAAACACAGTCATTCTGTGTGTTATGACCTCAGCACAGCCCTGTCACCAAAAGACCTACACAGTGAGGGTGGGGCTGGCGCTGGAGGCGAAACTTGGGGGTTAGAGTCCCTCCTGGGTGAGTCCCAGCTCTCCAGAACTGTATAATTGTCTGCATGCAGAAAATACGAGGAACAATCTCAAGAGATTATTCTGAAAATAAAAAAAGGCCATTTGAGAAACAGGTTTGGTGTGGTATCTGGCATACAGTAACTGCTCAGTAAGTACTTTCCATCATTCCTATAGTCAGAATCCAGTGCTTGTGATGCTTACCAAAATCAGACATGCAAGTCAAACAGTGAAAAGCCTCCTGAGCTTAACAGAGCTAGGGGCTTTGGATGCTCAACTACTTTGCAAGTAGACTGCAAAGTAGGAAAACCTACAAAACGTATCAGAACCCAGGCATCTTGGCCTGTATCAGCATATTAATTAAACAAACGGCAAGAAAAACCCTAAAATCATCCAGGGTAGTTATGTCAACACAGGAATTTGGCATCCCTTCCGTACGGCCCCAGAATGGAAGTCCGACTTGAATCCCCTTCTCAAGATTTTAATCGGGGCCCCTCCACACCCCCAGCAGCCATCTCAAACCGGTCAGGGGTGTCCTGGAAACAGGCCTGGTGTGCCGGCTGTGCCCCTAACTCACTGCACCCTTCCCCCCTAAGTAGCCTGGGCTCCGAGCAGCGTTGCCACCCAAGGGGCGCTGCACTGAACGCGAAGACGGTTCCATCCCGCCTCCCCTCCCCGGGAGAGGCGCACAGCACGTCTGCCCAGGTCCAGGTCCAGGTCCAGGTGGCGTGTCCTCGAGGGTCCTACGTAGGGACGGAGGCCGGCCGACTAGGCAAGCGCCGGGCCGGGGCACGACGCGAGCTGCCCCGAGGGAGGAAACCCAAAACTCTGGCAACGAGGGGAAGGGTTGCGGGGAACCGGTCCTCGGAGCGGCCCAAGCCGAGGGCGGAAGACGCACGCCACGGCCATCGGAAGCTTCGAGGCCCGGCGCCGGGCAGCTGAAGAGGAGCCACGCGGCGGACTGAGGCGGAGGGGATCGAGCGTCCGAGACGCGCCACCAGGGAGGGGCGGAGGCGCCGGGGCCGCGGGTACCTTGGCCGGCGGAGTCCATGGTCGGGCGGCGGCCGGGCCGCAGCGGGGGTCGCGGCCGGGGTCTGGGGCGCCGGAGAAGCCGAGCGGGCCGCACCTGGACTCGCCCGCCGCGTACACACCGGCCAGCGGAACCGCCTCAGCCACCGCGGCATTACGTAATCAGCGACGCGACGGCTCACTTCCGCTTTGGCGCGTGCTCCGCCTTCGTCCCGCCCCCACCAACGGTGTCCAATGAGGGCGCTGTTCGGCCCCGTCCCTATTACCCGCTCCGGTCTGATTGGCCGAGGCTGCGGACGCAGCCGGAAAGGGAGGTCGGGTTCTAAGGGAATCCCTCCCACGTCGGCTCCACCAGCGAGACACACAAGTAGAAAGGTCCGAAGGCGCGCGGGGAGGGTGGGAAGTGGGACGATCGTCCAACATGGCGCTAGGGAAGCCTAGGGTTGGCCCTTTTGGAGACGTCGAGGGTGTTTGCCGCTGCCTAGGAGTGTCATGGCTAACGCACCGCACAGACCGCTTGAGATCCGTTTGAGACCCGACCCCCTGACTTTGGGATTAGCTTCTCCCTTCAGTTTTTTTTTTTTAAGTCCTTCCTCTTTATAGGGATTTTTATTTTTTTTTAATTGTATGGGGTAACGCAGAAAAAGGCGTGTCCGCGATTCGTCCTCTTGCCCTGCAGGCGCCGCTGCCCTGACTTGGCTGGAGGCGTCTCGCCTGAAGGGCAGCCTTCGTGCTCCTGCGCCGTGAGCACCTCGGTGTTCTTTCATTTCCTTTTCACACAACCCGGGAAGCCAGGTGGAGCCCTCCCCACTTTACAGATGAGGAGACTGAGGTTAGAGTAATTTGTCCGAGACCACCCAGCTAGTTGAGGGGCTTCCAGCAAACGCTGGAACAAGTTTGCCGGACTTCTCAAAGGAGAGGTGTGTAACCACTAGACCACCCGGTTTCGCTAAAACAAGTCCCCAAACTTCCCTTCTTTGGCTCCTAATTGCCACTGGAAGCAAATCCCTAAATGGTATTCAAACCCTTCAGGACTGCACTCCCCCTTTCCAGCCAAGCGACGCTGCATGTACTGATCCCTCCGCATGGAAGCCCCTTCCTGAACCTGGATAGCTCCTCCTCACCGCAGGTGTCTTCCTGGCACCTAAGGTCACCTTAGGTACCTACCTACTCTGGCTGGCACTGGCCTAGGTGCATCGTGGCCATGTCTTGCTCTGGTGCTGTCAATTAAATGTCTGCCCCACTTGGCTTCTTTGAGTTTTGCGGTTTCCTGCTCAGCCCACCCTGGCTAGCCCTAGTCCCCACTTCATGCAGTTCATGGCAGATGGTAGAGTAGCGACTGCATTACAGATGGTGGTGAGCAGAGGGCTTGTCTTTCATTCTGTATTACACCCTTGAGCCAGGAACAATGCCCAGCCCAGACCTGGCTCAAGGGGATGCCAAGCAAGTGAATGGTCCGTGCGAGTGTGTCTGTAGCCCTCACGGACATGCCCCTGTGAGTACCTGTTACTCTGAGTCTGTTGTCCCTTCCTGTAGAAGCCAGGAAGGTGGAGGTGGGGAGGGGACCCTAAAGAGCCCAGCATCACACTCTCCTGGTCTGGTCTAGCTGCTGAGACCTGCTTGATAATCTTCCAGGGCTAGTGTTCTTTCACAGCTAGGGGTGACTTGTCCAAACCCAGAGCCATCCTGTACCCGAGGCCAGGTTAAGGGCACCTCCTGGGGTCCCAAAGCCCATGTTCCCACCATCCTTTTGAGGTGATCAAAGCACCCATCACACAGTGTCGCCATAAACTGGGTCTACATTCTCTTTAGGAGCAGACTGGAATCTACAAGTGTTTGAGGGAGAAACACTTGAGGAAGGGAGGGGGAAACGCCCGTGAGGGAGAGAGAGCGAGGACAGGTTCCCTATGCTCTGCCTCACCCCCCCTCAGACACCAGGTCGGGATCCCCAGGCAGGGCCAGCGTTACTGGTTTCGGGGGTGTGGGCAGGGTAAGGACCTGAGGCCCTGAAGGTGCGCAAATGCACCCGCACGCTTGCCAGCAGCTGCAGGGACAAGAACTACAGCCTCCAGGGCAACTGGAAGTCCTCTGGTTCCAGCGGACTGCAGTGAGTCGCCTCCACATTCTTGAGGTGTTTGCGCGCCAGGAACAGTGCGAGCTGCCGGCGCCGCCGCGGGCTCAGGCCCCGGCCCACCAGCCAGGGGAAGGCGAGCCCATGGGGCCCCCAGGCCTCCTCATCCTCCCGCTCGTCCTCACGGCGCGCGCCGTAGGAGCGCAGCAGCCCCAGGCACCACTGGTCGTCCACGCGGTAGCGCGCGTAGAAGGCGGCCTCCTGCGCCAGGCTGCCCGCGCGCAGCCAGCGCGTCACGACCGCGAGGCCTTCCCGCGCCATGACGACCGGGTAGCGGTGCTGCAGCAGACGCAGGAGCAGCTCGTTGCCGCGGTTGCCCTCCACGTCGCCGGACGGCAGGGGGCGCAGGTGGCCCGAGGCGCTGACCACGTCGTCCTGCGTGCGCCGCAGCAGCAGCACGGGGCCTGGGTAGCGGCACAGCTGCTCGGCCACATTGAGGTTGAAGTGCTCGCGCACGGTGCGCACCACGAGTCCCTTCCAGCTCTGGGGCATGACCTTCAGGGCCAGCGGCACGAGGTCGTCGAAGGTGGCGTCGAGCACCAGCGCACCCAGCTCCGGGTATGTCATGGTGGCCCAGGTGGCCGTGAAGCCCCCGACGGACCAGCCATAGACCACCACGTGCGCGGGCGGGAAGCGAAGGCGGTGCAGCGCGTACTTGACCACCACGTCCACCGCGTTGGCGTCATGCTGCGGGAATGGCGCGCCCGTGCTGCCCCCGAAGCCCGGGTGGTTCCAGCCCAGCACCGAGTAGCCAGCCTCCAGTGGCGCCGACAGGCAGCCCATCTCATAGAAGCCGGCGTTGCCTTCGCAGCAGATGACAAGGCGCAGGCCTCGGCCTTGGCTGCCTGGGTGCTGGCGGCGGTCCATGAACATGGTGTCGATCTCATTGCCGTCACAGGCCACCAGCTTGGCGCGCCGGCCGCGGTAGCGCTCCACCAGGCGCTCCTGGCCCTGCAGCAGCAGCGGCAGTAGCGCGCGAGTCATCAGGCACATGGAGCCGGGGTACACGAGCCAGCGGCCCAGCGAGTGGGCCAGGGCGTAGCTGGCGAGCTGGCCCGGCAGCTCGCGGATCTGCTGCAGGAGGCACTGCGCCTGGCTGCGCGCCCC